TGGCAGTTTATCAACTTCAAACGTGAGTTTCACCCTGACATGTTTCGAACTGGGAAAATTAGTAAACATAAAAGTTTTAGCCTTGTCTCTTAAATTTCCAATAGTTCAAGAATCACATCAATTTGACTTCTGGATTGAATGATATGATCCAAATACCGCATCATATTCAGTCCTTGCATACTGCAGCAGTGCTCCGAGTTTGACAAATATTTTTACCATGATCCAATCCGAACTGGGTAAATTGATTAAAAGTAAACTTATAGCTCTTCTTCTTAGAATTCTAGTGGTCCAAGAATCACCTTATTTGGAGTTTTTTAGAGAGAGATATGGTCAAAATACTGAAACATATATGAATGAAGTCATCGCCATACTTGCACTGATTTTCATCAAATGAGCCTTTTTCATCAATTTCCTACAAAAGCCATAAGAGAAATTAGCAATAACTACTCTTCAAGTAATTTAAAACAAAACAACATAAAATTTAACTAAAATAACTTAAATTAATCACTTAACAAGTAATCAAAACTTAAACTAGAAAAACACCTAAAATGCAAAAATTCGAACCTAAAATCTCAAAGATCTAGCTACTTAAGCCCCCAAAATGTATCAAAATAACTCTATTTAATAAAGTTATCAGTGTCATACCACACAAATACCTGATCCAAATGTGGGGGTTCCCACCACACGTAACTAGAGCCAAATGTGAGGCACCATACCACTCACTTTATTATTGTGATATTGAAGCAAACACACCAATTTTGTTGTGGCAATAACCATGCCTATATTGAGTTGTTAAGTGTAACACCCCATACCGTTGTATAGAAGCCAATAAGACCTTATCAATAAGACAAAGGGTCAATTGATGTAAATTTAAGTGCCAAAGATCAGTGATGGACAAAAGAAATATTTTGAAACAAAATATTTCATGCACGGAAAAATAATAATTAAATAATAATATTTTTATCGATGATGAATTAACAAGTTAAAAGGCGATTTGGAAGTAAACTGGAACAAAGTGAAATACTTTGTGACCCGAGCAGACTAGTGGAGACTTTTAGAATAAAATAATATTTTATTTGTTGTTGAAATTAGTCATGAAGGAAGATTATATGACTAATTTAAGTGGGAGAGAAGAAGTAAGAAAGAATATTGAAGAAAAAAATGATGTTAGTGGGGCATGCGTGTCTTCATTAAATAGAGCAAGAGCGAGTAAGTATATATTTAAATATTTTGGTGACACCTTGATGAGGTGCAAATTTGATATTTTATTTGTACAAGTGTAAAGGAAGAAAAATAAGAGGAAATTAGAATTTAAAAAGTGTTGGAAGGACCAAATTGTGAAGGATGAAAAGTTTGGAGGGTCACATGGTAAATAAGGAAAAGTTAAAGGACTTGTGTGTAATTTCAACATTTGAAGTTAAATGTGAACCAACTAACCAAGGAAAGTTAGATTATGTGGAATATGAGATGTACATGTAAATTTACTATTACATGCAAATTATAGCATGCAAAAAAAGAAGTTAGTGGGAACATGTGAGACCCCCACCATGTGAAGAAAAAGGAAGAATAAAGTTAAGTTTGTTTGCATGTAATGTGATTGGTGCATTAGGTGGCCAAATGAGGAAATGAAATGTGGGTTGCATGTAACTTGAATGGTTGAATAAATGGCCAAATAAAATGTAAAGTGAAGCTTGTGCATGGAGTGTGATTGGAGGAATAAGGTGGCATTAAAAGGAAATGAAAATGAAATGCATAGAAATACAAGTGGAATGAAATGCAAATGAGATAAATCAAAAGAGAATACCATGTGGACCAATGGATGGACAAGGCAATCTAACCAAAGGATAAAGGAATGGATAAGGAAACATTGCATGAACAAGCCACCAATGGGAATGGCGTTAATAACAAAGAAAGGAAATTGCATCATGTGACATGTAAAGGAAAAGTAAAATAGAAAAAGGGAAGTAACCTTGGGCAATCCACCCATGTAAGAGAAAAATGAGAGTGAAAGCCATTTCAAGGCTTTTGCCTTGAGAGAATCTACCCCATTTGGAAGAGAGATGAAGGGAAAATAGCCTTGTGAGGCTTCCACTCGAGAGGAGAGAAAGAGTTGAGTGAAAAGGGCTTGGAGGAGGCTCAGTTTTGTGGAATATGGGAGAAAACTGAAAGGTTTCCTCTTGCATGCCATGGTTAGAGCTTTAAGAAGGCATGGGAGGTTCGGCCTAGTGGTTCCAACCTAAGGAAGGTAAGTAGAACTTTGATTTTGGTTATGATTTCTTGATGAAATGAGTTGGTAATTGTGTGAGAATGTTTGTGGCAGCCAAGGTCCTCCAAGATTTGAAAGAAATAGATGCACACATGTGGGTCAATCGTGGAATGCATGGTGATTTTGAAGCTAGATAAGCAATGGGTGAGTATTTTAGTCTTGAAATTACAAATAGACAAGATAAATGAGATGTGTACTAATTGTTTATATTTTTGGCAGCAATGGTAACCATAGATGTGAGGAAATTGTGAGCTATATGTGTGGAACTCAAGCTAAAACTGAAAGATAAGCATGCAATGTGACTGCATGGTGTTGTGTTGGCTTTGGTTAGTTGATAGTATGCGAATTGTATGTAAAATGTTTGTGAATAATGTTGATGAAAACTATAAAATTTGGTTAAGAAATTCTTGATTTATGTGCTGCCCGTGTATAGGCATAATTAAGTGTATTGGGTTTGAATGGTTGCTAGGAAGTGTATAAGTAGAGTAAGTGAGCCGTGGTGGTGTGCTAGATGAGGTATCGAGTGACCAACCAGTAAAATTAGCTACATACACATCCGAGTCAATAACGGTGTAGTATCCCGCTATTGTACAGTGAGTAAGGGGTGTCAATTTCCAAATTTCCATACTATATATATTGCCATACAATTATAGATGTGTCGATTTACTTTAAATGTGAATTGTGGACAGCATGAGTTGTTAGCCATGGTGGGCGATTTTAAAATGGAATTGCAATCGATTATACGGTTATTGTGGAAAGCATGAGTTGGTAGAATGCTCGGCACTTGTGAATGCCATGGTTTTAAAAATGTTTTGTATATATAAATAAATATACAAGTTATATATGTAAAGTGTTTTAGAAACTAACAAACAAGCCTTTTTATGAAGTTTGCATCAAAATCTATGGTTCGTATTTTTGTGTGATATGCATAGATACATGCATTTGTTAAATGATTTAAAATGCAAGTTTTGAGAACCGGTTTTATTTCGATCTTTGAACAAAGTGTTTACACCATGCCATTTAATGTGAAAAGCAATTTGAAGGGTTATCAAACTTTGATTTCAAACAATTTAAAGGAAAAGCCTCAAAAAACTTGATTTAGTTTTTAAAATGATTTTAATAAATCAAGAGCATCGAGAGTAGGCCGAATGTCACATAGGGATAGTGTGACCCTTATGCATAAATGATCTCTAGCTAGAGAACCTTTAGGTCATCGATGAGCTGTTAGGCGTGGTTGGGGCCATGGTCTGTGATTATACATGGCAAGGCCATAGGTTATTATATGTGACTTGGCCACAAGTTGTGATATGCGGTTACAACCACTTGATTTCTCTAATGTCGGCCAACATAGTCAAGACTACCATGGTTGTGGAAATTCGATGGACCGGAGCTCCCGGATGTTATTACGTGGAAGTGGGTCCACGAGTGATTATGATACTTACCTACTCGAGAGCCTTGTGAGGTTTTCAATGCATACTCTTTTGCATGGTGGAGAGTTAAGATTCCTCTACAACTCCCCTTTATTTGAATAAAAGCTTTCAGTCCTTACTTGACGATCACGAGTTGGTTTATGTGGTTGTACACATTAATTTCTTTATATGCCACACATTTTGGGAGTGTGCATACCTTTATACTATTATTCATATTTTGTCGGCAAGTGATATTTTCGATGATTGAACTCTATTTTGCTACACTTGTTTTTGGCACTATTTTGCCAAGTGAATATTGCATTATGATTTTACGGTATCACTTTTACAAGGTACAAACACTCTACTTGTGATTTCATTTTCCTAAGATTATTATTCTTATTCCGATTTTATCATTCAAATTTATCTGCTTTATGCTCATTTTCCATCTACGCTTTGCTCACGGAGCCGATGATCACTGAGTTTGGGAGACTCACACCCTTATTTCCTTTTTGCAGGTACTGAGCAGCGTAGCGTGCATTCATCGGCATTTACAGTCCACCATGGATAGGTAAAGGGGTTTCATAACACTTTATTCCAAGTCGCTTCACTGCTAGAGGTTGAGTCTTTAATAGCATGATGTATTTGTAAATAGTGACAATGTAAATATGCAGTTGGATACTATGGACTTTAGTGTGTTCTTACAATTATGAAGAATAAAGAATAAGATGGCTTATTATGATTTATGTTCAATTCTTATTACAAAGAGTTTTATGGTTCAAAGTAACTGCATAGATTGATGGCTGAATATGAAGTAATAACTAAAGTTTCAATTAAGGCTTGTTCGAGACTTGGCAGGTTCTCTCGTGAGACTCAGATGCCGGTAACGATTGAGGAGCGGTAGCTACATTAAGGATGTTCATTTAATGATGATGACGTATTAAATTGCCAAATGTTTATTCAAGCATTGAAAGATTTATATAGAGCTATCGAGGAGGAAACTTGCATAGCATTTTCTAAATTCCCAAGTGGGAGGTAATACCCAAGATATAGGTTGTATAAGGACTGATTCCATTACCAACGGCAAAAGTACCAGTATTCTTGACATGAACTCTCTTGTTTTCTCTTTTGCAAATGTTTCGTAAGTAAAGGTGTAAATGTTTATTAACACTTTTATGCATATTGAATTTCAAAGGCATTTATGGAAAAATGTTGAAATGAGATTATTGACATTTGAAAGGATTTACATGAATATTTGTGAATATCACGTTGTTTTTGCAAAGTATGGTTTATTGCAAAAACTCTTTCCCTTGGCTTATTCCCTTCTCCATATCCATTCATGAAGTCTTTGTGACTCACCCATTATTTATCTTTATTTCTTTTTTTACAAATTAGTAGCTCGTTTGCCTAGACGCCTTATAGAGAAACAGCTTATCTCATACTTGGTAGGTGTGATAGTGCCTTTTTTCCAGCCCACTAGTGTCACTACACTCCAACGTGTGTCGAGTCAAGTCTTTTAAATGTTAATATTTGAATGGTACTTGGTTATGTAATAAGTATCAATATACTCATGTGTCACATCCCATTTTTTGGTGGGATATGATGAGTATGGTCCGCTAGACCCAAGCAAGCCTCCTTACATTTCTTCATACTCAATATGGTTTAATAACCTACATCATAATACATAAGGCAAACAATATACCATTCATATGGATTCATCCATAAGGAATTATATATTATTATGGAACTTATCAACATAAACAGTTTAACTACATTCATTTCACAAAGTCACCAGAGTATCATAATCTCATACATTTCATCATAAGAATATTCATCTACACCATCGGGTGTCCATATCGGTTCTTGAGCAACCTTGCATAGTTAATCATAACTTTCATGAGGTAAATGCCAAGCATTGGCTACACCATCATAGACATGTTCAAATATCCATAACATAAACATAAAGTAAAGATTGACTTGTTAGTAGAACATAACCCGACACTCTATGCATTGAATGGGTTTCTAGATGCCTACCAAAGAAATAAGATCAAGAGCTTATCTCTGCGATGATGGTAGCAAACTAATCACTAATTTGAAAAGCAAAGATAAGGAAAATAATGCAAAAATATTCCATAAGTGGATATGGGGAAGGGGACAAGCTAACGAGGAAGAGTTTTTTGTAATCATACATTTGTAATCTCATGTCATTTATAAAATTTCTTAATTTCCATGATTCTCATGAAACATGGCATTTAAACACATTTCCAATAACGTTTAAAGAAAACAAGTTTTGCATAAATTGCTAGAAACCAATTGCCATTGAAAAACCTTTGAAACACTTGAAAATCTATTTTCATCAGGAATCTATGAGTACAAATAACAATTCTTTGGGTTTTCTTATTCCATGGGACTATTCCTTAGGCTACAGTTCAATCTAACCAAGTTTACAATTGTAATGACTGCTACCTCAATTGCTATCGGTGTCCGAGTCTCGCAGGAGAACCTACCAAGTTCCAAACAAGCTTTAATTGAAACTTTAGTTGTTACTTCATATTCATGTTATCAATCTATGAAGTTACTTTCAACCATCAAACTCTTTGTAATAAAAATTGAACATGAATCGTAATAAGCCATCATCTCCTTTATTCATCATAATCGAAAGAATACACTAATGTCCATAGAATCCAACTACACATTTACATTGTCACTATTTACAAATACATCATGCTATGAATGACTTGACCTCTAGCAGTGGAACGACTAGGAATAAAGTACTATGAGATGCCTTTACCTATCTGCAATGGACTATAATTTCCAATGACTGCACACTAGGCTAATCACTATCCATAAAAGGGAAATAAAGGAGTGAGTTTCACAAACTCAATGATCATTGGCTCCGTGAGCAAGGCGTAGATGGGAAACAAACTTATAGCAGACAATTTGAGTAATAAAACCAAATTATAAAATGATAATCTCATAAAACCAAATCCCGAGTAAGGTGTTTGTGCCTTGTAAAAATAATGCTGTAAAATCACAATGCAATACTCTCCTTAGCAAAACAATGCCGAAAACAAACGTAGAAAAATAAATTTTAATCTTCAAAATCATCTCTTTCCAACAAAAATAAAAATAACTGTATAAAAGTATGCACGCTCCCTAAATGAGTAGCATGTCAAAATCAACATGTACATCCACCTAAATCAACTTATGATCACATAAAAGCACTAAAAGCTTTCATTCAAATAAAGGAGCTGCAAAAATATTGGCTTTCAACCATGCGAAAAAGAACAAGTCTAAAAACTCTCAAGACTCTCGAGTAAGTAGTCATCATAATAATCAACTCATAGACCCACTTCCACGTAATAACAATTTGGGAGGTCCTCCTTCACTAGATTCCCATAGCCATGGTAGCCTCGATGATGTTGGCTGACATCAGAGAAATTTTGTGGTTACAACCACATATATCAACTTGTGGCCTCCCCACATATACCAACCCGTGACCTTGCCACGTATATATCATAGACTGTGGCCCCAACCACGCCTAATAGCCCATTGGTGACCTAAAGGTTCTCTAGCTAAAGCTCACTTGTGCACAAAGGTTGCACTATTCCAATGTCACATTTGACCTACTCTCGACGCTTTTAGTTTGTCAAAACCACTTTCAAAACCAAATCATGGTTTACAAGAGTTTTTCCTTAAATCATTTAAAAACAAGGTTTGGTAACCTTTCAAAATTTCGTTTCACATTAAAATGCATGATGTAAACATTTGCAGAAAGATCAGACTAAAATCGACTCTCAAAAGAAATTAAGTTTAAACCATTTAACAAGTGCATTTAACTATGCACGTCACACAAAGATACAAGGCACGATTTTTTATGCAAAACATTGCAAAAAGGCTTGTTTCCCAGTTTCTAAAACACTTTACATATATATATAGTATACACGACAAACTCCAAATCCATTTGCATCCACAATTGCCTGTGGTTTCTACCAGCTCCTGCTCAAAAATAGTGTCTAAATTGTTCCAAATCAAATATCCAAATCGTAAATCACTTATCATTTTTCAGATTACTATAGGTATAACATTATATAATATAGAATCTTTTGAAATAGACACCCCCTACTCAGCTTACAATGGTGGGATATTACTTTGCGACTAATATTTCTCGAATGCTTACTTTATACCTACAGCAATAATCTTTGCCTAGTCAACTTCCTAGCATCATTTCAATCCAATACCATTAATAAACTTTGCTGCCAATATATTCTACATTTTCTATTCATATTTAATTCTATATTCTCATATTTTATTCATAAAAGATATTCATTTACACTTAATCCTTAGTGTAAACTTTGATTTACATAAACCCGGCAATTTGTTTATGACTTGAAACACCCATATCAATCTTTCTAATGACAATCATCATGCTCAAACTATTATTTTCATACCATTAATCACGTATATGGCAGCAACTATAAATCTAATTTCACCAAGTAATTTCTAAACTTATACACACCATTATTCACATTTAACATGCTGCCACTAAGCGCAATATCAATTCCATTCATATTACACCCACATTCTTAATCTTTTAAATCTTTCAAATCAACATATGCCCACAAATTTAATTTTTCAAGCTTTCAACTAGCATAATTGTTTCCTAACCATACTTAAGGCATCACACAATCATTTCACATTTCTTGCCTTACCTTTGGAATGGATTAGATCTTGCATGCAACCTCAATGTTCTTCCAATGCTCCACTCACAAAGCTGTCAACATCATGCACAATTATTTCTTCAAAAGTTTTACCAAACGTGCTTTAAAACATAGTATTATCCTTACCATTTCTCTTTCACTTTGAATCCATCATGCACCCACAGTTTTGATAGCTTGCATGTCACTAAATCCTCTCCAATCAAGCCAGTCTTTGTTACCACAAAACATTTCTTATAGTTACCAACCCATTTTCAAAAATCATTCAAACTAAAACCACAATACTTACCTTATTTCTCTTGTATCTTGAAACCAAGCTCTACATCTACTTTAAAACTCCACGGTTCTCTTCTTGAACATTGAAGATTTCATTGGTGATGAAATATCAAAAACCTAACAATAATGAAGAGAATGAGTTCACGATTTTTCCTTGGATTTCTACAAAAAGCGAGCCTTCACTTGGTTTCTCCTTATTCTCTAGAATGCCTTGAGAACCACTTGATATTTCTTCAAATGCCCTTGAATCACTCTTTAAAACATGTGTGCAT